CCAGCGCGCTCTTAACCGCAATGAGAACCAGAGTCTGGCACTCAATTAGCCATGGATGCAGGGCACCGTGTGGAAAAATAAGAACCGGATGCCGACTTACAGGGAAAAAATCATGAGCCCGCCGAACATTTCTATTTCCAGCTCGATCAGCACACGGTCACACGATGTCCATTGGGGGGTTGAGGATGACTTACTTGCGACGAGCCAGCGATTGCTCGATACTCGTCCCCAATACTTGAGCAGCTCTATACTCGGATTAGCCTGTATTCCGCGAAGCGCTCTGGGCAAGGTCAGAAGCCTAGATGTCATACCTTTTTGCGCGCCCTCGACATTGTCGACGACGTCTTCCGTGTTGGCGTCAATTCTCTGGATCATCTCGCTCTGTTCCGATACCATCGTCGCCAGCTGTCCAAAGATGCTGCCCAGCTCGCCGATGGTCTTCTCAATAGCCTCAATAGCCTCGCCTCTCTGGTTGATGTAGCTGTTCTGCGGCTGCGCCTCTTCCATCATGAGCAACTGCTGGTCACTCGCGGGGTTCAGCGACAGGAGGTCAGCTCCCGGAGACGGCGTTCCTCTGTTTGGCGTGCCATAGAGCGGCGATGCCGATTGCTGAATGGGCGGCTGCGTGTGCTGCCCAACAGACGAGATGAAGTTGTCTGTCCTCGACCGCGATGCCTGTATGTTCTTCGTACGCTCCTCCAGCACATCTTTGAAGTTTGCCGACACATCCGTGAGCTTGCCCTGCAGAAGAAACACGACGTTCTTGTTGTGCTCGCCCTCCTGGTCGGCCTTTGGGTGTTGGTTCCTTGTCAGCGCTTGGAGCTGCGAGATCTGCTGGTTGATGGAGGACAAGTCTTGCTTGATGATGAACGTCAACTCGTTGATTTCGACAGGCCTGTCGTCGAAGAGGGTTCGTCGGCGGGCGACTGCGCGGCACAAAATGTTAGCTCGATCCCACGGCCGCAAAGATGCCCGTGACCCGCGGCCCGGCAAGTCCGCCGACAGCAGCCCGTCACTTACGTGTCGCCAGCTTTTCCAGTTTTCCCATGGTGCCTGTGATGCTCCTGCCGATTTGCGCCGCTTGGCGGGCAAAGTCCGACCTCCTGGGTCGTCCATCGCCGTTGGCGGCGGCCTTCTGCTGGTCCGTCAGAAGAGACCGGCGCTGCGCGCCGACTTTGTTGGAAGCCTGGCGACGCTGCGCCTGGGCGAGGACCGACTTGAACTCCGAGGTGCGGTCCTGGATTGATGCGACGGCCATGGTGGCAAATCGACTGCGAGCGCAGGCAGGTGTTTCGTTTGAACGGTGCGAAATGCTCGATACGATGGTGTTTTTTGGTTGAGGTTTGTCCCCTTGGCGCCTATTGCTATCGATCGTGAACGGTGTATTAAGAATGTAGGCGTGAGTTTGAGAGGCCCGAGTAATCGACTGATGCGTAGAGTGTAAGGGGTATATCGGAAACTACGGAGACGTGGCCTGGCAACGCGGGATGGAGCGGCGGCAAAGTTTAAAATTGGCGATAGGTGTCAAAAGGCGCAAAGCAAAGATCGTGAGGTGAATCGAATATGCCTGGTGAAGTTGGGGTTCTCAAGTTGGGTGTCGGCCGCGTCAGTTCCAAAGGGTAGAAGAAGCGCAGTAGTGTTAAGGTCAGGGGGCCCAAGGTGCAGCTGGCGACAGGAACTGGCTTCTGGTTGGCCTTTTGGCTCCTCTGCAAACGTGGTGTTTCTGCTGGCTCGTTCTGGCTGGCCCCGGGCTTTCCACCCCTTGTTTCCTCTGGCGGAGCGACATGAGTGGCCCGTGTGACATAGCCACCTAGGCCAGCTCGCGCGACCGATGATGAGCCACATTCGGCACCTCCATGGCCCACCTAGACAGACACTGTGGCTTGAACAGTTTTCCGTCATCTCATCATAAAGGTACGGAGACCTTGCCAGCTACCAAGGTAATGCTGCATGCATTCCCTTACTTTCGCCCTTCGACAAACGCAATCTTTGCTGACATGTATTGCTGGCACTCACATGCCTTGTGAAGGATGGACCTAGACTGCGCCACGCTAACTGTCTAGGAGGGAGCTGACAACTCGCCAAAGCTTCGCCCCCTACCTTTGTTGCTCTGGGTTTGATTGCAGGCGTCCCCATGCCGATCTGATCCCCCTCTGCCTGTTGGCAGGCAATGGGACGTGGATGCTGAACCTACTTCGATGGCCACCTTCGGTACTCGGAGGTTCCTCTGCTGCACGTTCGCGTACCAGTGTGACTTGAGGATCCCCAACAGGACCTACCGTCTCGCGCCCCGCCCGCCGTAATCATAATAATAATAGCACCAACACCCCAGCTCATCTGTGAAGCCCCATTGTAGTGTGCCTAGCAGCTCCCCTTGTGCTGCCGAGTCTTGCGAATCCCAGCTGTGCCGTTCGTACTAGGGTGGCAGGGTGACGAACCACGGCCAATGTGACGCCGGTCGTACGTAACCCAACCCAGAGATCCTCGTGTCGAAGCCCATTTCTTCTTCTCCAACCCATACCTCTGCCATTCGTTGGGAAGTCTGCCGTCTGGCTCGTCGCGCAACTTGCACCGCGAACGTACTATTATTGTTATTATCGCTACATCGCCGGCACCGAGGAAAACCCAATTTCTCAGAACTCGAGAGGAGGGCCCCCTCTCGTTGTCGCGGTCGTCTTACGACACGATCCAATTACTCTCCGCGCTCGTCGAAAAGCATGAGGAGATAGCATCTCTAGTTCACCAAACGCCGACGGGATGGACGGCTCATACCAAAACCCCTATCACAGGGCCAATAGCCCCATGTGAGTTCTCTTCAGCTCTGCTCCACGCCGCACCGTCGCCATCCGATCCCCTGGTCGCACCAATTTTCTAGTCACAATCGGAGCCCTTCTAACACCCTCTTCTCAGGAGCCCGGAAACGCCAACGAGCGCCCCGTATCGCGCCAACGTCAACCGAACCAAGACAAGGAAATGGGTAGAGGCAAAGACGCAGAATTATGACGGTGACGACTGGGGAGCCGACGATTTTGACGAGCATCCCGAGCCTGTGCCTGTGCCGCCCTTGCGACCCACCGGTTCACGTCAGACCAGCTTGTCCAGCCAGACATGGAATCAGCCTCCGCCGATGCCTCAAGTAGGCCATCGATATGCATCTGGTCCTCAACCTAGCCTGCACATTCAAACGCAGCCGGTTCAGGTGCCATCGCAGCTGTCGCAGTCGCAAGCGGAACAGCAGCAACCTCGCGACCTGACAGCAGCACCCGAAATCAAGTCCCCAGTGGGTCCCGAGCCTTCTTCGTCAATTTATAGTCAGGGCACAGGGCAGGTCGTTTCGCCTCAGTCCGCCAGCTCTGGGGCTATCACTGCGCCCGTCACCGTGTCAGAACCCTCGAGGTTTCCTCCGCGTAAGAGCAGTGTCAGTCAGGGCGAGCCCCAAGCAGCCCAGCAGCAGACAACCCTACCCTCGAGTGTCTTCCGCCGTTCAGAAGAGGATACGACTGCAGGCAATCCGCAGTCATCCCATACCGCTGGCAAGAACGCTGAGGAGTCTGTCGCATCTCCTCCTGGGCGCTCGATTGCTCATAATGAAGGCATAACTCCGGCCCACACCAGTCTAGGCAGCACCTCCCGCGCTGGAACGCCTCAGGATACTGTTCAGGGGGGCAGGAGCGACGACGGACTTGACCGGACACCTTCCCCCTCAAAGCTTGACCAAGGACAGACCCAACAGGCATCAGTGCTGGGATCAGCACCTGCTCCCGTTGAGCAGCCTCAGCCTACCGAGCGTTTCAGTACTGCAGTCATCGCTGAGCCGCAAGCTATTCTTCCCTCCCGCGGATACGAGGCCTCTTCGCCGACTTCAACCGTCGAGCAAGCAAGCAGTAACGTCGTAAGGGCCCAGGAAGAGCCTCGACGATTTTCCACGAGCCCTCAGCTTCCAGATCTGGCGCGCATGTCCATGTTTGGCGACGATTTCTTCGCGAAACCACCTCTAACCTCGAATGCGCCCCCGGTCCCCACGCTTCCAGAGGAAAGCGAGCCTTCCCCTCAACTCTCTTTACCGTCACAAACCTTGCCTGCAATGGATCGGTCGGCCACACCACCGAGGACTGATACGACCACGATCCTGAGCACTGATCAGACCGAACCGCCAACTCAGCCAACTCATGATATTTCGCCCAAGCCAGAGGAAATGACAGCCGAGGCGGCGCCGACTACGAATGTGACAGAATCCCCAACTGGTGACATTGAAAGTCGCGAGCCTTCCCGCCCCGAGCGCGCTGAACCAAAACGCCCATCATTTCCTGGTGGCTGGGTCACCGAGACTGCAACCCCAGCGGCGGAAACTGAGCCCGCAGCGAATCCCATCGAAAGTGCCCCGACCGAACAGCCAAGCATGCCAGCAGTTTCCGACGATGGGAGCGGCTCTCTTGCGGCCTTCGAGCCTGTCCCTTTGAAGGGGCTTCAATCCGCTTCAGGTCCTGGGTCAGTGACAGCCTCCGATGATCACGTACAGCGCGCTGCCAGCCCCGTTGCATCTCTCTCGGTCTCCCCCGCACCTGAGGGACAGTCATCCACGCTGGCCGCTTTGCAAACTCGATCTGTCGATGACCCACCTGAGAAGTTTGCTGCCCCTGAGCGACAGTCCACCCTGAGCACGATCAACTCTCCCTCGCCAATCAAGGAGAGCGATAAATTGAGGGAGGAGATCATCCGAACTTTAAGCCCAGTCCGTCCGACGCATGATAATGATGCAACAGGAGACAGCAAAGGAGGCCTCTCAGTGTTGCCCAGCCAGGCTGGTCGGGAAAGTACTTATCTTCATGGCGTTTATGACGATTACTGGTCTGGGCCCGAGGACAGACCAGCTCACAGCAAACAGGATGATACTGATCCTGCTCCTGCGATTCCAGCCACAGATGGGACCATGCTCTCGTCACCGCACGATGTGTCTGATATTCCGCCTTTGAGCCCCCGTAGTCCTCGACGAGAGCCCGTTGATGTACCCGCTGCGGTTCCTGAAGTCAATCTGCTCCCACGTCGGTTCTCCTGGGAGGCTGGCAACGAGGATCAACCACAGTCTGCGGAGCAAAGCAGCGCTGTTGCCTCAGCCCCGCATTTCGCCGTCAATGTCAGCAGCGGCCCGTCTTCTCAACATTCTCAGCCTCTCGCGCCTTCCATTGGAGATCCTGAGGAGCCAACAAATGATGACGACAAGCCACCATCCAGTGCGGCGGACGAGCTTCCTTCGAGGCTGGCAGACAAGTCACAGATTGGTATCTTGGACAATACGGCTCTAGTATCGCATCAAGTCTCTCAAGTCAGCACCCTTCCCAGGGAAAAGCAGGATTCGGCCGGCCCTGAGCCACCGTCTCCAATTTCAGCAGCGTCCGACAAACCGCCGCCTTTCAAGGAAGAAGCAGAACCCAAGACGAGACGCTTATCGCTGGCAGACGAGAAGCGCCTACAGGTCTCCACGTCGGACCAGACCTCTCCGCTCCCTTCCCCTGGAGGTCATCCCGCGTTAGCAGAGCCCACCGTAGCAGCAGGCCCCGAGACAGAAGGTTCACCGACGCAGCATCATATTCCAGCGCAGTCGACACAGCCGGCGCAAAAGATACTATCATTCAGGGAGATTCTTGACTTGCCAAGCCCCGCCGACAGAATCGCCAAGTACAATGAGACGCGAGCGCAGTTTGCTTCGATGGACTCGGGTCTCAACAATTGGATTGTTAGTCTGCAGTCACAGCATGCGGAGCACGGTGCTGCCTCCTCCTCATACCACACGTCTATCACTGCGGCACCTCTAGGCAGTGCATCGGTACAGCGATCGCCGACTAACGCACCATCGGCGTCGCAGCAGCCTTACTATCAGCAGTATTTGAATGCCAGCTCGCCGAACGCGACTCCAGGTGCTCCTGGCCGGCTATCCACGAGCAACATGGGGACAGCGGCTTCACATTCTCCTTCCAGCGATTTCAAGCACTCAAGTGGTCAAGTTGGGGCGAAGGGCAAGGAGCTTCTGCTCGGGGCGGCCAAGGCGGGCAAGGGACTGCTGAGCAAGGGCAAGAACAAGCTTCGCGGCGGCGACAAGGTATTTCCTTAATCATTCCTCTTTACCAGGGTTACTGCACAGGACATGCCTCTTCTCTCATCATCTTTATTTCCTACTTTGATGGTCGGACGATTCTTATTTTAGCACCCCCATACAGGCCAGGGCCGTGACCATGACTTGACTCGGACAACATGGGCCACGAGCCCTGGACCCTGAGCCATGAGCCACCGGCCGGTCTATGTTACGTTCTGTGCGGCTGGCTCGGATGACGGCACGGTGTATGGATAAAGAATGACACGACTTCTTTTACACGATCATGTATTTCCCTTGACGGCTTTTAATCTCCACAATGACTTTTCTTGAGGTGCCTTGTTTCTAATGCCTGGTTGTTTTTGCAGAACGAAGAGTCCTCCTCCTCCCCATCGCCGCCTCCGCCTCAATCCAAAGCCAGAAATGATCGCCGCGCCTCATGGGGTCTTAGTCTTGGACCACGATCCTCGGGTCTGAAGGGCGACGCCGACCCACAGTCCAACTCACCCCAGCCTAGGCGCCTTTCGACTGTCTCGAGCTCGGCCCCTAAGATTCCTCAACCTTTGCGCTTGTCTCCCTTGGACACATTCCCAAACTCAACTGGAGTTCCGTGGGCTGCTTCGCAACCACGGCCGCGCACTCCCCCGAACGAAGTCGATGCGCAAGGAGACAGCCAACCAGAATTGGTGTCGCCGGTGTCGGATACACACTCCATGCGTAAGGCGCAACATGGCGATAACACCAACCATGAATATTATGCAGCCGACAGCGTACAGATCCCGCAGCCTATCAGTAAAACGCAGCCCTCGTGGGATCCGACCAATGCGACGCCTTTGTTTGAAGAGAATGATTTCGAGCTCAGCCATTCACAGCCTTCAGATATCTCGAACGGCCGTCCTGTTGCTCCTGCTGACAATCGTGATGACGACTGGGTCGTGGTAGAGCCGCAGGCTCCTGGCGAGCCATATCGCATGGTGCCGTCCGGGGTGAGCAAGCAGCCTGCCTCTGGCCCAACGACGACAGAAGGAGCGACATCATCAGAGGTTACTCGGAGCAATGCCACCCACGCTCAACAAGCTCCGCCCGAGACCTCACCACAACGCAACTCCTCCTTCGTTGGGCTGCCTCCTATCAGACGAAGCTCCACCTTTGGTATCAATTATGCGCGCAGAGCAAAGGAACGCTTCTCGCTTGATGAAGACGAGATGGATAATTTCTCGAGGACATCCACCCTTGATGCCAACGCTGGCCCCAGCACACTGTCGTCGCAGCAGCAGCAGTATAACAGTGCTGTCGCCCAACAGAGTGGCGACCTTCCAACTGGAACTGGAGCCCAGACCCGTGATTCTCAGCAGGGGCTTGCAGGAGACACACTGGGCGCCTCCAGTCTTGGCCGCCCTGCTTCCTATGCTTCATCTGAGGTAGATGTCGGTGATGATCCGGAGAAACCGCCCGTGGCAGAACCTGCGCCGTATCAAAATCGGAGGACAGCGCCAATGCAACACCAGAACATGCGGTCCCCGCCAGGTGTTCTCGGTCAAAACATATCTGGCGGTAATCCTGTCCAGCATCTTCCACCGCAAGGGCCTTGGAAACTTGAGGAGTCACACTTGTCTGAACCTCTGCTTCCAGCTAGCCGAAGCCGCCATACTTCTGATACCAGCCAGGCGTATTTCGGCTTTGATAAGGAGATTGGTGTCACGAATCCGGTTCCGATTCAGCAGCGCTCAGCTGTACAAATGCCTCCTCGTCAAAAGTTTTCAGAGACGCCGCCTTCATCTGCACGTCGTTATCCGGAGCTCTTCTCTCGGGCAGCCGGGCAACAGCAGCCGCCCCCCCAGCAACAGCTGCAACAACAACAACAACCACAGCAGCAGCAGCAGCAGTCGCAAAAGCACTTGGATCAAACCATGTCGCGGACATCGCTGGATCTTCCGCCCCAGGTATACCAGCAGCAGCCACCGAGTCGGGAAGATATGATGTTGCAACGAAGTAATACATCCGAATTCCAGGTCCCGGGTGTTGGTCCGCCACCTGAAGACCATCGCGGCCGAGAAAGAAGGGGTTCGGGCATCTTCAAGGAGATTGGTGGCCGGTTCAGGACTGCCTCTCGCGAACGCAAAGGCTCCGTCATCGAAGGCAATGGCTTCGCACAGCAACCTGGTGTTGATGTGCAAGGAGATGAGGTTTCGGAGTCAAGCTTTGATACGCAGGAGCTTCGTGAGCGGAAGAAAAAGCGCCGGTCTAGCTTCTTCCTAAGCCTCAGGGGCTCCAAGCCTGCTAGCAGCGACGGTCCGCCAGGCGCCAGCGGAGATGACACGGCGAACTCGTCGGATGTTGCTGAACAACCCCAGACGCATACTCAGCTCCAACAGCAATTTGCTGATCAACGCAAGAGGTCATTCTTTGGAAGCACACCTGGTAGTGGACTGGGACTTCCGACTCTGTCACGGACCTCGACGTCAAGCAATGTGCACGAGACTGAGGGTAGTTTGCACAGCCATCAATCGCCCAAAAAGCGACTGTCTACGTTGACGGGCAAGTTCTTTCACCGATCTTCGGGTCAAGTTGAGGAGCCGCCCAAGCCAATGACTGCGCAGTCCACAACTCCTTCTCTTCAGAGCCGTCTCTCGGGTCTTCCCAATACTCAACCCGGAGTGCCCAGCCCACTTGCCAACCACCGGAGAGAGAGAAGCGACACAGCTACTTCAAGGCCTCCTACTGACCATGAACCTCAATATCAGAACCAAGGTGACGCACATGATGTGAAGCATGCAGACCGTGGCCGTAGAGCATCCGCGGGCAACTTCTTGGCTGGCCTCTTGGGCAACAGAACTTCATCCAAGCCTCGTGAGGCTCACCCCCAGCCTGAGAGGCTGCCGCAAGACCAACCGCAACAATTTCATTTTCAACGACAACCACAAGCTCAGGCGGGCCAGGTTGGCCATCAACCTTCTCCGCAACCCGTCTTTCAACCGGGGACAGGCGACGCACAACACGTCAACCGCCAGTCTCCTCCGCCTTTCCGCACTCAGGGACCTCCTGTCCACCCCGTTGCAGGTGTTGCTAGTCCTGAGCAACGTGGGCAGAGCAGTTTTCCTAGCCCTCAAAAGGCCCCCGACAACACTCGAGTGTCTGTTCAGCAGGTGAACAGTGACACAGATGAGGCGGGGTCAGACACTGAACAGACTGAACATGCAGACGTTGCCACGGCAGCTACCTTGCAGGCAAAGCCAAGTGAAGATTTGCCCCAGTCGCAAGTCCACACTCGGCCAGTTCCTGATGTAAACTCCCAACCACTTGGACTACCAACCGTGACTGGAATGAGCAACGAGGTCAGCCCAAACGCTTCGCCTGACTTTTCGTCGGTCAACCACCAGACCCATCGCGATTTTGGCGCGGGAACCGAACGAATGCCTTTCAGCCCTGACCATGTTCAACACGTTCAGCGCATCGAGACACAGCAGACCCCTAGGGGCCAATCTGGCCTTGATCCTGAGACTCTGGGCCAGCTGCCTGCGCGATCCATCCAGAAGCAGTCTTCTGGAGCCGATTTGCTGCCGCCAAGAGAACAATTCTCTTCTTCACCTCGGCTGAATAACGGCTATCAACCACCCCCATCCGAAACATCGCTCCAGGATCGACGAGTATCACACCTCTCTATGGGATCATTCCAAGAGCCCTCGACTCATTCAAGTCCCAATTTGTCCTCCCAGGTTGATCCTCGAGTGCAGCGACCTGTTTCCATTTCGCCCGTCCCTCAGGGGCTGCATCAGCCGCCCGGAACGTCTATTCACGCTCGCGCGTCGGCACCATTGCTCACGACACAGACGACGGCCAATAATGGATTCCCACATGGATACGGCCCTTCGCAGGCACCCGGGCAAAGCTTTGGACCGGGCCTTGCGTTTTCGAACTCCCAGGAACCCCCCGAGAGCCGTCGCTCAAGATGGCTCATGGGCAAGTCGTCACAGCAACCCGTGCAGGCGTCACAGCCGAAGCCTGAGAAGGAGAAGTCGGCAAAGTCCATATTTAACGCTTTCAAGCGCTCCTCGAAGCTCCCTTCTGCCAACCAGGCTCAGCCCGATCTCGCTGCTTATCGAACGAATTCTCATCAGCTACACCAGCAGACGATGCAGGGCCGGCCGCTGAATCCCGAACCGGGTCCGCAACAGAGTTCGCAACAGTCATTCTCGCAGCGACAGCACCAGGAAGCCCAAGCCCATGGCCAGCCTCAGCAGCTCCTTCGTGGCCCAGCAAATCATCTCGCACAAGGCCAGGCACCTCCGCTGAGCCACCCTCAACCTACAAATGGGCATGCACAGATGGGCCCGCATCATCTTTATCAGCAGCAGCGAATATCGCCGGCCACTGTGCCAGTGCCTGGGCATATCGATCCACGTCATAACTCGTTCAACAGCCCTCATCAACCACATGGGCGATCGCCAGAGTTGGATCAGCGAGGCGCTCGCAGCCCACCGCAGCCAGCCCAGTCCGGCGGATACGACACATCGGCTACACATGAGGAACATGGCCGAATGGGCCAGGGCTTAGGGGGCCCACGGTTCAGGCAGAATATATCTGCAGACCAGTATCCAGCTCCTGTCCACCAATTGGCGCACAATCAGCAGCAGCAGCGGAGCTTGATAGAACCTCAGTATGATCAAGTTCCTATTCCTCGGGGTTACGCGGCCGTTCACGGGGAGGGCAGCATCGAACCTTCACCCTACTTGTACGGACGCAGAGTGTCCGGGGGATTCCAACAACCATCATTCGAACAGCAGCCGAGTAACAATACCGTAAACCGCAGACAATTCTCGGCAGAACAACTCTATCGTCCCTACAGTCACACGCAACAGGTCCAGCCAGCCCTGCAATATGGTGTCTCACCTCCCCTGGGCCAGCAGGCTAGCCTCCGCGACAGCATAGCCTCGGGTAGTTCCAGTCAAAACATGTCTCGCGCCGGACATCCTGCAACGCACTCTGGACCACCTGTTGGCCTCGGCCTCGATCGACAGCAGGCTGGGTACGGAGGGCAGAATGTGCAGTATGATGGTAGGAACAACCAACGCCGAGAGGGCCACCAGCTTGTGCAGCAGCAGCGACAGCCCTATTTACGGCACGATGAGGCCGCCAAGCCTCCGCATTCCACAAACTTTGCAGGACAAGGAATTGCTGCCAACAGCATTGCGATCGATACGGGCATGTCCTCCATGGCCAGGAACGAGAAGCAATCGCCGCGTAATGTCCAGGCATCCCAGCATGTTGCCGCCGAGGCGCCCCGAGCGACTAGCAACGCGTCCAACTCAAATCCGTCGACCCCAGCAGGCAGGAACCTCAACATAAACGTGCAAAGCGCCAACCATGGGGACCACGACGACATTTACGACTCGACGCCCCGAAGACCCATGGAACCCCTGAAGCCGACAATAACAGGTGACAGCCAAGTCAGCGCCGGGTCAAACGAGGAGCGGCAGGCACTCGAGGCAAGACGTGAAGCCGAGGCGGCGGGCGCCAGCGCCGACCAGGCCAAAATGACACTCGCCCGGGGCAAGAGCGCGCGGGCGGAGCTCGAGGACACGGAGGACGAGCGCAAGAGGTCGATCCGCTCGAGGCGCAGG